CAGACTGTGTCTCAGAGCTTGAAGAAAGCTGTTGCAGCCAAGATGTGGACTCTGTCTTTGACCACTCACTGGATGCTCCAATGTGGAAGCTGAGGGTTGTGGTCTTTCCTTGCCACTTGAGACAGCCTGCCTGAGACACACTTGCCCTTGTGTGTGTTAAAGTCACAAGCTTGTGCCTCAAAATATTTGGTTTTATGTGCTGGCATTGAGGTATCTGAGGAATCATAGAATGTTAAGGAGGTGGAGTGGACCTTAAAGATCATCTAGTCTCAACCCCCTCCACCATGGGCAGGGACATCTTCCACTACATCAGGTTGCTCAAGGCCTTATTCAACCTAGCTTTGAACACTGCCAGGGTTGGAAGCATCCACAAGCTCCCTGAGCAACCTGCTCCAGTGTAACAGTGTAATTTTTGTAAAAAATTTCTTCCTAATATCTAACCTAAATTTCCCCTCTTTCAATTTTTCCCCATTATTCCTTGTCCTATCACTACAGTTCCTGATGAAGAGCCCCTCTCTGGCTTCCCTTTAGGGCCCCTTCAGATACCAGAAAGTTGCTATGAGGTCTCCATGCAACCTTCTCTTCTCTGGGCTGATCAAACCCTCAGCGTGGCCTTCACAGAGGAGCTCCAGTGCTCTTGTCAACTTTTTGGCCTCCTCTGGACTTGCTGTAACAGTTCCAGGCCCTTCTTATGTCCCTTATCCAGAGTTGGTTGCAGCATTCCAGGTGGGGTGCCCGAGGGCAGAGTAGAGAGGCAGAATAACCTCTTTGACCTGCTGCCCATGCTCCTTTGGATGCAGCCCAGGACTCATTTGGCTTTCTGGGCTGTGAGCACAAGCTGCTCATAGGGAGTTTGTCATCGATTCTCACCTCCAAGTCCTTCTCTGCTGTGCTGCTCTCAATCACTTCTCTGCCCAACCTGCAGGTGTGTCTGGGTGTAGAACCTTTCATTTTGCTTTGTTGAACTTCATGAGATTTCCACTGACCCACCTCACCAATCTGTCAAAGTCCCTCTGGATGCAATCCCTTCCCTCCAGCATGGGACTGCACCACACATCTTGGTGTCATCAGCAGATTTGCTGAGGGTGTCTCAATCTCACTGTCCATGTTGCTGACTAAGCTGTTGAACAGGATTGGCCCCAAGACTGATCCCTGAGGGACACCTCTTGTCACTAATCTCCATGTGGACAATGAGCCCTTGACCACAACTCTTTGTGTGTGGCTTTCCAGCAATTCTTTACCCATCGAGTGGTCCATCCATCAAACCCCTGTCTCTCCAATTTGGAGACAAGGATGTCACGTGGGACAGTGTCAAGCGCTTTGCATAAGTCCAGGTAGTGGATGTGATTTACTTTGCCCCACCCACCAGTGCTGTAGCCCAATCCTAGAAGGTCACCAAAATTTGTCAGGTATGAACAGGCAGTAATAATTTTGTAATTCTAAGCTTATTTCAGTTATTTTAAGACTTTTTTTACTTAACCCTGCTCTTAACATAATTTGAAGAATTATTATTACACTGCAACTTGAGTAGTGTTGAGGCTGAAGAAGAGTGTGCAACCTGTAGAAATGTTTACCAGCCCATTACAGGTCCTATTGCATAGACTGCTCCACTGAACATCTGTTAGGAATCCTGATACCTAATGGGAATATCTGTTTCTGGTTACTATTAAATAACCCAAAATCTCTACAGAAAGAATCTAGAATATAAATTTTTCTGCCCATGCTGGGCTCTGGGACACCAGTTTGTCCAAGGATGTCTGTGCTGTTCCGATTGCAGCAAGTCTGGGAACAGCAGCTAAACAGGAACTCAGTTATCCTCATGGCTGAAACCTCAGGCTGTTGTGGGAGCTAGCAGTTAAGAGGCATTTCCAGAATCTACTTTTTGGTTTTAATCTTTGATAACAGGCATCAGAGCTCAAATGGCTGATAGCTCTTCTAAACAAGTCTTAGGGATGGAATTTGCCTTTACCTCAGGATGCTGTAGATAACAGCTAAGTTAGTCAACCCTGGTGTTTTACTAACAACAGGGGACAGAAAAACAGTCACAATGGGGGAATTTAATTGATTTGTTTTAGAAATCTGTGTTAGGCTAAGTTGATTTTCCTATCTTTAGTATTTAAAGCAAGAAAATAATCTAGATATGCCTAAGATGCATAAACACAGGTGTCTAGTACCATCTGAGATGCCCTAAGGGATCTGTAATTCCTAGGCAGGGCTGCAAGATGTGACATCGGTTCTTTCCTTAAAAACTAATACTGTGTTTGAAAATGCAGCCTCTCCTCCAGGCTCTGTCAAATACATCTGTGAGGTGTCCTTTCTTTATCGAATCATATCTCCTTTTGAAATCAGCATGCTCTACATACTGTAACACCACTTATCTCCCTAGTGAACTGATGCAAATCATCAATCCCACCATGCAGGACCTCCTTGCATGACTGAGGGCAGATAAAACCATTTCACCTTATATTTTTTTAGTGGTGGTTTGGGTTTTTTTTGTGCTTTGTTGGAGCATTATATTCACTTTGTACTCACTTGACACAGCTGGGGATGAACGCTCTGCAGGGTGCAGACAGGGAGGCATCAGAGCCCTTGGTTTTAGTGGGCTCTGCATGTCCTTAGGGGAGGATTTTTCCTCAGTGTTGCAGATTAGTACCAACAAGAGAATTAGTGTGGGGAGTTCCTCAGTGGTATAACACAACCACACTGAGCCAAAGCACTTGAAGCCAGAGCCAGGTCTCTTCTGCTATTCTTATGTGTGTTCTTGAAATCAAAGGTACACCTTTCAAAAAATAGCCCAAATAAGCAAAGTTGGAAAATACAACCTTGCAAGCTGATTACATGTACCTCAGCAGTTATATTTTGCAGTACACCTCCTGATTGTGCTGAAATAAGATCTGCCTGTGGTATCAGGGATATGTTCAGAATAACCATGGGTTTTACTGTCAGCTAGTTAGTTATGGAGTGGGTGATTTAGATGTGCTCACAGTCATTACTGCAATGAGATCTTCTCGCCCTGCATTCAAAATTAAAGCAGGGAATCCCCAGGGCCACACAAGCACAAAATATTTTTTAGCTGTCAAAAAGGGTTTCAGAGTACTCAAGTTTTACATGCATGACATCTTTAAAGATTAAAATAGATAACAAATAGATAACATATTTATTTCTTTTTAGAGGGCTAGAAAGTCCTTTTGAGTCAACTATTCTACATAATCTCTGAGTGGACATCACAATTGTTGTCTGAAAGGAGATTAATTAAAATGTCTATTGGGAGAATGGTGACTAGTCTTATAAGACACATGGAGGCTGTGAAATGGGAAGCTACTCCATGGAGGTCTGACAATGTGTGTTGGCTGGCACATTTTGAATCCTCAGTTCGGTAGTTCCAGGTTCTGTCATAGTAATGAGATTCATAGAAAATGCTTTTATATGAACCACATTATGACTGCAAATGAACATGGTGTTCTTCTAGAATATATTGAGAGATGGTGCCACCAGCACATCACAGAATCATAGAACTGCCTGGTTTAAAGAACACCTTACTCCAAACTCCTTGCTGTGGACAGAGACACCTTAGATTAGACCAGGTTGCTCCGAACTCCATCCAACCTGGCCTTAAACACTTCCAGAGACAAGGCATACACAGCTTCTCTGGGTAACCTGTTCCAGTACCTCACCACCCTCACAGTAAGAATTTCTTCCTAATATCAAATCTAAACTTATTCTCAGTTTGAAGTCATTCACTCTTGCCCTGTCTTGTAAAAAGTCCCTCTCCATCTTTCCTGTAGGCCCCCATCTCCTATAACCATTTCTCCAGGTCTGATACTTAAATAGGAAAAGTAGGAAAAACAGGAAAAAGCAGGAAGATGCACTCAGTGTGTTTTCTTAGTGTCTCAAGCTCAGATTCCTATTGTCTGCAGCATCCAGGTTTCAAGCAGAGATCCGGCAGTAGGAAGCAAATCTCTTTAGAAACTTTCCACCAGTGATTTTTCTTTTTTTTTTCCAGTAGGTTTCAGACAGGGTTTCACAAAGTCCTGAAAACAGTACCAGCTCCTGAAAGAACTGTCGTGGCTTATGAGCGTTATGCAGCTTTGCACTATCGTTTTTGGATGGAAGTGACATTTGATTGTTGTGACCTTGCTGTGCCTTGTGATGTTCCAGTGCAAAATGAGAGCCTCATGACATGCATATTTGATGCATAAATGGCAACTGAATGCCTTGATTTCACATGTCTCTCCAGGTTAATACTCCATGTTTTGATCCTATGGCAGTCCATTCACCTGAGGTCTTTTTCCTTTCTTATTTTCAGATCACTAGGCAAAGGCAAAGTTCAGCCTGTTTGCTTCATGCATGAAAGATTAGTGTCCTGTGCTGTGTAAGAGTGTTCCTTTATGAGAGTTTTTTTTCTCACTGTTTGGTGGTAAGAGGCAATTCTCTCTCACACAGGGAACTCACTTTAAAGGGGATTTTTCTATGCAAAAAACACTTTATACAGGAATACAGTAAAATTCCACTTTTAAGTCTCATTTTAAAAACAGAGGGTTGGCCTTTAGCTAAAAAAAGTTTAAAATTTCATCACAACAGGAACTCTGAAAATTATTCCCCTCCTCAGCTTCGCTATTTTGTTCAGTCTCTTATAAAAATGCAAGAACACCTGTAAAAGAAAACTTTGCCCTCCTGGAAGCTGGTGTTTGACCTTTGCAGGGCAGTGAGCTCTTTACTAACAAGTGCAGAATCCAAACATTTTGGATGCATGACTGTTTTTTCCCAGAGCCCCAAAACCATGTCGAGGAGTGACCTCCATCCTCCCGGCTGTCACTGCCCCTGTGGAGGGGGGCTTTGGGGTGGCATCCCTGTACCTGTACATCGAGGGCTGCTTGGCAGCGATGGGTTCGAGCAGATCTGGGTGCTGGGGCAGCTGTTGCTCTGAGCGGTGCCGCCGCCGAGTTGGGTAACCATGGCAACAGCATCACCGCCAGCATCCTCCTCCTCCTCACTCGGCTCTCCTCCTCCTCGGCATCATCAGGAGCAGCAGCAGCAGCAGCAGCCCTGGCAGGAGCCAGAGCCCGGCAGCCGAGGCTGCAGCCAGCTGCTGCCATCCCTTACCTGCACCGGCACCCGGTCAGAGCCCTGGTCCCACTGCTCCCAGGGGGAATAGGGCAGAGGGAGCTGAGGGAGCTGCACTGCAGAAGGACCCCAGACAACCCAGGTAAGAGCTGTGGGGCTGCTCACAAACTCCCCGAGATCGATGTGGTGTGTGCCTGGCGTGTGTTTGCGTGCGAGTGTTGGCTGCGAGTTTTCCGGCTCGCTCCTTCCAACAGCAGTGTGATGACAATTCCAGGCAAGCATGTTTTCCGGCTCATGTTTCCCATCTCTGCCATACTGTCCCTCTCCCTCTCCTCCACCCAGATACGTAAGGAATAATAAATAATATTCTAAAAGGTTAGTAGAAAATGGGATGATGGGGGAGCCCAGTGTGATCAGAGTGGGGAACGGCTGCACTTCCAAAATAAAAGTGGACAGCAGCAGCAGAGCAAAGGTTGACACAGTAATTAATAACCCCTAAAGAAAAAAAATGCGACAGTGCACTTCTGTCTCTGCCCACTCTACAAATAAATCTCATCAAATTCAGCAGAGAGCTGTAAAGAGGAGAGGTGTGTGAATAGTCAAGACTAGAAACCTCACTGTAGTCTACAACTGTCAGATTTACCTTAAGTGTTTTAAAATGGGGAAAATAATGCATTGCAATAACAATTTAATCATACCTGAGAATGTATGTATATATATAATTGTAAAAATATTGCTCTTAAACCTTTACAACTTCTAAGAAGTGAAAAAAAAAAAGAGAAAAAAAGAAAAAAAAGTCTTAGAGATGTGGGTCTAATGGGCAGACAGTCAAAGATGCTGACTTCGTCTGTTGTGAGAAAGCACGTACTGGGTACATTTCAAAAGGTAGGAAGAATAGTTCTAACCCAAAGGCACATGAGGACAGTCCTTGTCATTTCATAAACAGAAGAGGTACAAAGCTGTGGAGTGTCCTTGTGCAGGCAAATAGATGTGGATGAGTGCGTTTGTCTGAGGATCATGAAGGGAGAGAGGATAAGAAGTAAGTTTAAGCCAAGTGGTGAGTGTTTGCTGTGTAATGACTGCAGAGAGTTCCTTCCACGGAAATGTTTTTGTTTGTTTATTTGTTTGTTTTTGTCAGCAGTAAGGAGAAAGAGATCAGCTGCTACTGCTGCTGTCTATCTCCTTCTTTAAACCCCCCTGTTCTACCTCTCTGGTGTCCCTTGTCCTCCCCACATCATCCTTGTCTGTGTGGCTGGAAATGCTGCTGGTTTTACTGATAATAAGCATTTTAATAGAAGGCTTTTGAGCCCATCCCAGGATATGATACAGTTTTAATTCTGCTTCCTAATTATAATGTGGGGACAGTCTAAGTATGACCCAATACAAGTACTGGTAAATTTGTGTGTGTATATATATATATATATATATATATGTATGTATATGTATATACTTGTACATACAGTGAAGGCTAAGAGGTACTTGTCTTTCAAACTGATTTGAAAATCAGAGTGTTTTTTTGGTCCCAGTCTTCTGTTTTGCTACATATCTGCAGGTCCTCCTAAAATCAGCAGGAGCTGGTATATAATTTAAGTTTATAGATATAGAACAGAATACAGAATTGGGCCCATCTTTTCTCTGTGTTTATAAACACCCTCCTCCTCCTGCAAGGTACAGAGCAAGGAATTTGGGTAGTCAGGACCTCATGTCTAGTTCTTATGCAGAAATGTTGTAAAAATTACCTGGGAGTTATGTTCCATCCTGAAGGAAATTGATAGGATGAGGGATAGATAAAAGAAAATATAGGCAAGTATTTGGAATCAGTGCCTTGATTTGCAAAATAATTTCCTTAGGAACTTGACCTTCTCATCACAACAGGTCTTCTCTATAAGGGGCTCTTTGATCCATGTTAATAACAGTGCTCACAGACACCAAGTTTAACTGAAGAGGATGATTTTGGATACTTATATTAATTAAACTAAGGCACTGTAGGGCTATAGTCCTTAAGGACAAGTCTGTGCACATTACATCATGTATTTCTGCATAAGATTTGGTGTTTGCTTCAAACCTAGAGACTATTTAATCTTGAAACTTCTTTGTAATAACAGAGAGGGAATAAAAGTGCCTGTAAAAATGTCTGTAAAAAGAGCACAAACCTGATCATGCTGCTGACACTGAAAGACCAGTAACAGAGCCAAAATCCTGTTTATACGTGTTGCAGAGATGTAAAGTGCATAATCCAGGGGCAGCTCAGTGAGGCACAGAGCAGCGATCCTCTCATCAGCACAAGCAGATGATTGAAGGTCAAAGGGCTTTGGGTATTACACATTAACACCCTGCAAGTATTCCTACACAGTCCTGCTTTGCTACTAGCTGTGAGCAGGTGATTATGGAGAAGCCAGAACTCATATATGGACTTTTGATTACTGTGGGGCTGCGAAAATACTGTTAGAAATGACTCTGGGAAAGGAAAGGGAAGGTTGACATTTTCATGAGCACTGCTTGGCCGTAAAAACTCTCTGTGGAGGACTGTTCATGGAAATTCAGGGCACTGAGGCTGATATCAGTGGAAACAGCAAGCAAACCCCCTCAGATAACCATTTCTTAATGCTCAGTGCCCCCCACCCCCACAGCTCTTTCCCTTGCTTAAACTGGAAAGCTTAGAAGAGATTTTTTCACTTTACCTTATGGCTTTTTATATTATATTATATTAGTTTAGTAATGAAAGGGAACACGGTCTTTCATTTGCTTTGGGCAGGGCTGTTAAGAGCTGCTCTCTTGATGCCCACTTATTGTTCACTAGCACTGTCTTAAGGAAAAAAATCTATCTCATGATATAACTGAGCATCTTTTAAAATCTCGCTCCTTATTTTCATTAGTCACCCACTGTGGCTCTCGGAACTCAGAACAAATGAAGACTTATACCGTAGTTGTTGTTCTGAACTCAGCATTTGCCAACAGGTTGAGGTTGAGGCAGGAATTTTGGAAATGCTGCAGAGAGAGGGTTTTGGTTTTTAGTTTTTTCTTTTCCTTTTTTTTTTTTTTTTTTTTTTAAATAAGGAAGCTGCTATTTTCCAGATCCTGCTCCATAGTACCCTGAGGCAAGAGAAGAGTTGAAGATTAATGTTGTACCTTGCCTTTAGTTTAACAATGCTATTCATTTTATTTTGAGAGTATGTGTAAACTGCTGTTTATTACTCTATCCTATAATCACACTCTGTGATTTTCCCTCTTACAATAGCATGCTTTTTCCTTTTACACTGTCTGGTGATTGGCTAGATTCACTGCTTAATGAGACAGACAGTTAACCATGGAAAAGAAAAGTTTTTCCACCACCCAGGACAAGGGTGAAATCTTTATGTTAGAGACTGGACACTCTCTGCCTGTTTGGTTCCCTTAAAAATATGTAAAAATATGTAGCAAATGCATACAGAAATAACCATATTTTCATCTTCTTAAGGAGTCAGACTGGTCTTAGTAGGTTCTCCTAAAGTCTAAATCATACCCAAGATCATGCAATGTGAACCTTTCTGTGCACTGGGCAGCTGCCCTCATCAGAACTTGGAGAGGTTATAATTCCTCCTAGTCTATTGGCTCAGGGGTAGCACAAGCTTTTGGTCTCTTTGTTTTGCAATCCCTGGGGTCCACCTCCTTCCTTCTCCCCCTGTTGATGAGGCAGATTCTGTCTGTGCTTCCCACAGCAGAGCACTGAGCAAAGTGTGTCCACAAGCATGAGTAGTGCAAGTGTCTCATGTTGTGTGCATTTCTTCTGCTCTGCCCTGTGCCCAGTTTCCTTCCTTCCACACTGGCAGTGCCTGACAGGCTGTAAGAAACTCATGGCCCGTGATGCAGTGTGACCTCTGCAAACACTGCTCTGGGAGATGATGGGCTGGAATTACCCGAGCAGTTGTGGCTGCTGGGCTGATCCCAGCCCTTCTTCTAAGGTCAGCACTGTGACATGCCCGATCTCAACTTGCTTGGAGAGTCAGTGAGAAGCTGGCTTCTTCCAGATCTTCCAAATCCAAGACGATGCAATTTTATTCTCCCTCTAATCTTATTATTAGTGCCTGCAATATTAAGGAATCTGTTATTTAGCAGCTTTATTTCTTCCCCATTTCCCCGGAGCAGACAGAGCATCCAAACAAAGTGTAAAAGGGAGAATGATCTTATTTTCTACACTTAGATGCTGCTAACATCCATGTGCAGTCACACGTCAAAAAAGAATATCTTGGAGGGAGGTGGGTGCTCTCTCTGGTCCTGCTACAAATTTTCCAGAAATTTCATGGCATTTTTACTTTTCTCTTGGGTTCAGATGTGCTTTGGTGTGGTCTCTGTGTGTCTGGAGCCCTCACACCTGAGACCTGGGTATGTTTCAATACTAAGATTATTTTCAGTGGACACAGAAGGACCCACAAAGTTTACTTCCCTTACTGCATATGAGGCACTGTAGGTAGATGCAATACTGACATGCTCTTCATACCTGTTGTGTTTTCTCATGTTTAGGATCATGGAGGTAAGACAAACTAAGCAGTAGTTTGAACTTTTCCCGGTCTATATACTTGTCAAATTCTTGTTTTTGTAGTAGTATATTGGCATATATATTTTGTACAGGTATATCTAGAAGCTATACTCATCATAATTTCCTTTTTTTTTTGTTCTTAGCTATGTGGTGTTGCCATGGATAGGTAAGACCTTATGCATACCATTGGAATTTAGAGGTGAAATTGCAGATATGAAGCAACATGATAATGCATGGCAGTGGTGTGACAATAAATTTATGTTTTTCTTATTTGCGTGGAAATTTCAACCTCTGACCTCTGGTCATGATGTGGCTTTTAAGGATTCACAAAGTGCAGCACAATGATGAATGGGATTTTCTTAATGTAACTTGGCTTGGTAGGGACTGCCTGTGATTTTAAGACCCTGCTGCCACCATTTAGCAGCCTGGGGAGCACCAGGCTCTTTTTTGGTCCAGCTAGTTGAGCAAACAAATTTCTCCTGTTGTATTACTATCCAGATCTGTGTGATTGGGAAGGAATCTGGCTCTGCCAGCATCTTCTAATGTAATTTCTGTTTCTCTCAAGTTGCTAACGTTGCATTTATTTCTGTGGCTGGCAGGCACTGTCCCATTACCTTTTTACGGCC